AGTTTACTTGAAGATAATCATCACACTTATTTTTTCAACTCCGTAGTAAGCAATAATTAAAAACATAGTGTCAATCGATTAAAATATTTTTAGTTTTTACAGTTTAAAATGAAATATAAAGAAAAGATGATAATCGAAAATAGAAAAGTGGGATAATCGATGGCAAGTAAACTTTATAGCAAATTCAAAAACGCATTCTTATTTTGTATTTCTAATTTTTTCAGTGCATTGAGTAAAATTTACAGGATACAGTTTCAATTTGATATAAATTTGAATGAATTTTGATTTTGTAAATAATGGATTATGTACCTATTTAAAATGTCTTTTTTTATTGCTAAAGAAAAGTTGATCAAGTTGGAAAATGACAAGTTACTGATTGAATAGAATTTTTTGTTCAAGAATTAGGTAAGAGACTATTTAATAGTATAATTTTTATAAAATAATACTTTAGGTTATAACTTATAACAGAGAAGTTAATTTTCTGTAATACAAATATTATACTTCATAAAAAGTTTATTAAGTTTATATGTATTTTTTTTCGTAGGTACATAAGTAATGGGAAAGTGAATTAAATACATTTTTAGTTAAAGACAGATTTTTCGTTTGGATGATAATTTATGGATAATATATAAGATACCATTTCTAAACAGAAAAGGGTGAGTTGATCTTCTTTTAAAGTTTATAGAAGTATAAAATATCTATACAAAATGATGTTTTAAGTTGTGAATCACTTTTTATTGATAAAAATGTATGCAAAGTGTATTATAATTTAAATAATATTAATAGTTTAAAAACTTGTAGTTAAGAGCATGTGGATTTAAAAATTAAAATACATGATAATACGTCTGAGCCTCATGGCAATGAGAATAAAAATGAAATATTGCATTTTTCGTTACTTAATCTGATAGATGTTTAAGTCTTAAGATATTCAATAAAAAACAAAAAAATATATATTTTTTATAATTAGTCAAAAAAACTATTTTTCTAAACTTTAAAATACTATGGAAAAATGTAGAAATTTTATTTTTTTTTTTAATTATTAAATAATATGAGTGATCTTAAACTTACATTTTTGGGTGGATAAAAACAAAATAAAATATAAACGATTTTTATGATCATACAAAGTTAAAATATTACTTTTTAAAAATTTGTCTGTCAAAAATGTATCTACAATTTTATCTTGGTTCAACTTGTTACAATTACGAGTATATGCCCTAATTTATAAAGAAAAATATATAAAATATACATTATATACTATATATAAAAAAAAAATTAGTTGAATGGTCATTATTAGAATTAGAATATTGATAACTTTTGAATTTTTTTTCTTTGATTCTATACAGTGCTATCTTAGCTAAACATTTGTTTCATGTCCTTTGATTCAAAATATTCTAACTTAATTTTTAGTTTTTTACATTTTTAGGCATTTCAGCTATAAATTTATTTTTGTTTTAAAAGTCATTTCTCAACTTTTATAAGTCATTTTTTCATTTTAAATGTTATTTTTTAGTTTTTTTACAGTGTGTGGGTATTTTTCTCAAATTTTAGATTTTAAAGAAAATTTGTATAATATTTAAAAAAATAATTTTAATATTATTATCGTGGGGTTTTTGTCATGATTAAATTTATCGCGTATCGATAAGATTTTCTACATTGAAAACATCATACACATTTTAATTGTACAGTGCAACAGTGCACTATGAATATTAATGAGAATATTTTCAATATCATTTTTTTCATTAATATTTTGTTTTCTTATTTATTTTTAATAATTTTATATAATGCTTAAGTTATAAATGTATACTATTGATTATTAATATTATAATTCATATTTTAAATTACTCTGACACCCATTATTACATCCATATCTCTTATAAAAATTATTATTTATAAGTAAATATTTTTTACTTATTTAATTAGATTTTTCAGATCATTTTTGTTTAGTTTTTTTGAGAAATTTTGCATTTTTTGTGTGTTTTTAGGTCATCAATATCCCTAACTTTAGTCATTATTGTATCTTTATAATATATTTTAGTTTAATTAAACTCATCTCAATGTTTCTGATTTAAAACATTATTTTCTGTATAATTAAATAATTTAATTTTTATTCTCATACAATTTTAAAATTATTAGTAACTCTGTTACTCTATCTTCGCCAGAATCATAGTTTTTAAACATTAGATAATCCAAATTTATAATGTATAACTTGTATGTTTGTTTTTACATTAAAAATAATAAATATATACAAGGAAAACAATTTCAAAATTTCTAAAAAGTATCGTTAATGTGAGATTTCTTATTATAACACTTGCAGAATAAATAAAATAAACATAGTACTTTTAGCAATAACCGATTGACTGTTACGTATATTCGTATATCCTGTTACATTTTATTAATATACTAATATAATATTGTATTATTTCTATCAATTTGTTGGTAAGGGTTTAAGACTACGTTTATTAATTTATTTATTATTTACGGAAAAAAAATACAAATGGTATCTGAGTTACATTTACCGCTACCAGTTTTACAACATTCCTTTTAGTGTTATACATAATCAACATTTGTAAATAACATAATTTTTCACTTTGTGCATATAAATATTATGTAAAACGAACATTTTTATTCGGTAATTATGTTTTTAAAAAGCACAAAAGTCGTATCAATTAAGCAGTTTTCATTTTGCACAAAACAGCTTTTGAAAAAAAAAAAACAAAAAAATAAATATATTCATTAATCATTATAGGAAAAACCAACAATGTACCTATTCAATTGTGCCAGATGTGCATAATATGCAACATTCATAATATATTATGTTGATTTTCAAAAATATTCAAATATATATGATAAAGAGTCACTTACTCACTTGTAAGCGAGTCAGTTACGGATCACGGACGTTTATGGATTTAATCTCAAGTTTTTAATAAATCAATATTGCGATCATAATTTTTTTAAATTGTTGAAATATATTGTGAAGTAAAGCATATACAATATACATTATAGTCATTATACATATTACAATACACATTTTGTTAATTTGTGTTCAGCTAATTTAAATCATAGAAAAGTATATAATATGATGGTTTTCATTGATCAACTTAGCAGTTCAATTAAGTTCTGTTTACGCGGTACATATTTTCTTCTACAGTAAATAGATTACTTACTAACTTACTATCTAGACATTATCGGGACTTCGAGTCCACTATTTGAACAGTAAAATATAGTGAATTAATTATTGCGTAATCAATCGTTACCTATTCCGATCAGAAAGTATTATAATATATTATACAACCAAATAATATGGTGAGCAATAATAAATTGCGATTTAATTTTAGTTAATATAATTTGAACGTATTAAATATTGAAAACATAACGCGTGATTAAAATTAAGACTGACTCTTATACATGCGTTAATTTATTTTACTTTTTAATAGAAGTTTTTCAACATAATATTATAAAATAAAATAATAAATATTATATTAAATATATTATAGCCTATATACATAAAAAAAAAAAAAAATTCACAAATTAAAAACAAAATTAGGACAACAACAATATTATTAAGTTACAATGTTATAACAGTGTTATATAAAGACGATTTTGGTATAAAGCACCGTTGTAATTATAAATGTATGTGTTTTTTTTTTTTTTTTTAAACTAAAAATAAAATATTACTTTTGAATTATATAATCTAGAAAGAAAAACTAACTTTTAACCTATTATTGTATGTATGTGTGTGTATATATATTATATATAAAATATGTATTATAAATATTTGATAATAAATTAATATAATATAAACGTAACATACCAATATAATAAACACACATATATATATATATATAAATACATAATACAGACACATATATAAATATATTTATTATATAAACACACAATAATAGGCGAGCGTAATAAAATTGTGAAATTATACTATATAAGTACTACCGTTAAATTAAAAATCGCAAGAATAATGTTCCTTTAACAATCTATAAACCCGTGTGTATATGACTGTGGTTTTGTCATGTAAAATTAATATAAAACAAAAATATAACAGCTCGTTCCCTGTTATCAAGTCTTTGACTTAAAATCGTAATAAAAACAAAAGTCCGATAACTTAACACCACAATAAAACGATCTAATATTTTCATAAAACGTCGCCATCGTGTCTATACGTTGCGTTGTGTTATATTATAATAAACGTTATTTCGACAAAACATAATATATTTTACACGCGGATAATATTATAATAATAATTATTTAACGACGGTTGCAGAATGTTGTAAATTTGTTGTTATATAATATTCTTAAACGATAATATTATTACTATTTTAGTTGTTAGTAAGAACACAGAAGCCAAACGAACAGAAGAAACGTTTCGCGTCGGCACCAACCCTATTTAGCATCTGCGCACGTTTTACATAACAACATACATATTATTATTATTATTATTATTAATGTTATTATCATTATTATTATTAACCTATTATTAGCGGTTTATAATAATCACCATAATATTATTATAATATCGTTTATTACACATTATGAAATAATATGATAACTATCGATACTTTTTGCCTACACACTAAAAACTGTATTGTTGTCATTTTAGACGTATAATAATATTAACTTCTTACTATACTAAGTGTTTTAATACTTTTTTTTTTAACATTACACAACGAAAATAAACAATAATATATTATAATCGTTTAAAACATGTTATATCAATAAACGGGCAAACAACATAATATTATTAACGCGATTTGTTATAATATAATATATCATAATAATTTACAGAAAAATGAAAAAAAAAAAAAATGTAAACAAGGAAACAAACGGACCTCCCTTTTTTTTTTTGTCGCGTATCGCCCCCGGAACTTTGCTGGCTACGCGTTTCGGCGTAGCCCCTGACCAAAGCCGAGGAAAAAATAAATAAATATCGTGTGCGCAATATGTACATTTTCGATTTCCGTCCGCGTCTCGTTTGTTCGATTGTTTTGTACGAGGATGGGGGGGGGGCGGCGGCTGCGGGACCGAGACGAACGATAATAATATTATTTTTATTATTACGGTCGTCGTCTCGCCCCGCGTCGCCGCCGGTCGGCGCGACACCGCGGCGTGGTTATGACCAGCCACCGGTGAGTTTGTGGAACAGCTCCTCGTTCAGCGTCTGGTTCACCTCTTTGGAACGCATCGACAAGAATATGTAACCGCCGATGAACTCGTGTATGACTTTGCAGTCGGCCGACTGGCAGGCGAATATTATGTTGCCCTCTTCGAACTGCACCATCATGTGCTTGACTTCCCAGTTGATGTTCCACGCCTGCGGGGACGGTACAGAAGAAAAAAAACAACAGAAGAGACGGTGTTAGAGCGCAACGGAACAAAAAACAAAAAAAAAAATAACAATAAAATTGTGATCGGACGCACCTTCATCGTGTTGTATCTCCACGTCTTTATGTGATCGCCGGTCGCGATGTCCATGCGCATCAGACGGTTGTACGCTATGCCCAGCAGCTCCTCTTTCTTGTGGCCCATAAACTTGACGACGAACAGCGATATGCCGAACTCGGGCAACGACTGCCACGCTTTGATGTAGTTCATCTTGGCCTCCATCAGAGTCAGGTCCTTGAGGTTGGCGTGCGCTTCGACTATGCGCTGCTGGATCATCTGCACGAAAAATAAAATCGAATTCATAAACGCTGTCGGTAATTTTTTTTTAGAGGGGAAAAAAATCGACTTTGGTCTCAGTCGTTACTCGTCGTCGAGTCGAGTCGAGTCGACGTTATGACTTATGTCACGAGTTAGTTGTGGTCGACAAACACGCGCGTATTCGACTTCGGCACGGTCGAGTTGCAGAGATATGGGTTGTCAAATATTTGTTTGTACCGACTATAATACTACCAATATAGTACATCACATCGTGTGGCGATCGTGAAACTTTCAAATTTTTAAATAATAATAACTCAAAATTACGTTAAAAATGCATTTTAAATTAGCTTCTTATTGCTTGTTCTATACGAAGTCTTTTAGGAAATTACACGTTTCAACAAAATTATTAAATCGAGGAATAGTATAATGTGTTGTTTGTTTATTTGTAGGTATTTAAAATGTCTGTGCGGCGAAATTAAGCAAAAAATGTATTTTAGTCTTAGCTACAAATATAGAGATTTTAACTCGAGGTATTATTACGTAATTTTATTCAAAAAGTTAAGTTATTACATTTTAAGTAAATAAGTAATTAAAAATATCAAGTTAAAAAAAAAAAAACTTTTTGTGTTTTAAATTTATGGATAGGAATTTTTATGACCAGGTCGTGTTTCACCACCTACTGTAATGCTTACTTTTCCCTTGAATTTTTTGTAAAATCTATGCGGTATGTAATCCTCAACAGCTATGTCCAACGAAGACGGGCTAATGACAGGCGACTGGATGATCGACGGATGTTGCATTTCGAGGAACGCTTTGATCGATTTGACTTCGGACTCGTACGAGTGATCGGACAACGGGCGCCCTTTTGCCGCCAGTCTACAAGCAGCCATCCATTTTGCGTATTGCTCCTCCTATAAGTGTTCATTTAAGGGCGATTAAAAAAGTCAGATATCATCACATTAAATTAATTTAATATTGGCTAAGCACTTACGGTATCGCATTTGATACACATCTCGGTCATGCCGTCTGAACTGGGCACTTCCAGTTTTATGCCGAACTTGTTCTGTGAAATATTCACGTCGGGCGTCACCTCACATCCCTTCAGACTGACACTGTGCACGGGAAGTGCACCAACCTCGGCGTCTTCCGCCGTTTTGTACATCCGCAAATGCAAATCTCGGCATGTGAACCAATACCGTTTATACGCTTTCAATGTAAACTTTTTGGGCCTGCACAGAGAAATCACGAGTTAGAATAACACCGTTTTACCGGATTTTATGCCAAACTAGTCAAATTGTGCTCACTTTAAAAATCTCAAGTAATCCGACAACTCAGGCGCATGCATCAAATTGTTGACATTGCTCTGTGGCTGGAACCCTTCAAGCGTTATTTGAAGATCTGACAGAGCAGCATCGATATCGTCGTCTCCACCTGACGTCTCTATAAGCGGTTGTGGTACGCTGGCTTTTAGATTTATTTGAACCTGAAATCAAAAATAGTATCATTAGATTAATAACGCGGTTTTCAACAAAAGTGTAAAACACTAAAATGTAATTAAACTATAAATAACGATTAACTTCAATGCACACTTTAAGAGTACTTGAATATTTATAAGCATTTTATTAAATTTTAATCATGTCGTACTTGTAGTGCAGCAAACATTAAAGCTTCCTCTTCAGTACAATCGATTTCACCACTCAACAAACTCCATTTGGCTTGTTCGTATATTTGGTTTATGCGTACAGAATCTAACCTGGGATTCAAATCATAGAAAGAATAGAATTTAAACCGTAATTTCAACAAGTCATATTCCCTGACGCCTTGTTCCATGATCGACAGTGACGAATCCAACCATCTGTGTGCAGAAAACAAACTTTTTAAGTTACCATCGACGTTACTGTTATATTATATACTTTAGAAATACTACTCACGCCACGTTCATTCTAGCTTTCTCCACCAAAGACTTTGGTTTCAAGACTTTGTTTCGCACCTCTTGATTTAACGAAAGTGGGCTGTTGGCCAGAGACGAATCGAGGGAGCCGTTTAACATTTCCAGTGAAGTTACGTTGCCGTTCATTTCCGGTTTGCTGTATCCTTTCTTCCAAGTGCCATTTTGCTGTGGAATGAGAATAAATAAAAAAAAAAATCATAAAATACGCACACACACACACACATATATATATATCGTTATAACGATATATATATCGTTTTTTTGATCAATACTGAAAACAGTTAGTACTCACAGACACAGGTGAACTGATCGGCGTAGAATGATGTTTTAGTGGAGCGCATATGAACGGCGAAGATGTCATGTCAAGGCTTCCGGTGGAGCCGGACGGGCTGTGGCTGTTGACAGCGAACGAGTTGGTGTCGGCCGATGGCGTTTGACCGCCGTTGTATTGCATTTCCTTCATGTTGTGCTTCAGGTGATACGGTTCCAGTGGCTTGCTCAGCGACAATTCTTCCGGGTGTCTGATATCTGATCGCGCAACGAAAAATACAATTTTTTTTTTTTTAATTAATAAAATTCCGTTGCACTGCAGTTAGTAAAATCTGTCAGTTGGCAGATATCATAGATTAAATACTTAATGTTAAATGTATTTAATCCACCATGCAGATACTCACTAAGCTCTTTGCATATCTGTATGACGGCGTTGAACGTTTTAATGGAGAAGTCCACGCGCATGTCCACGTACCGGAGATCGGGCAACTGGATGCGTGCAGTTTTGTGCATTCTGGTGAATTGCAACTTGGCGTCAGCTTGCACTCCGTACTGATCTAATGTCGACCGGGTCCTGGTAAGCCACGAGTTACGGTTTGGCCACCAGAGAGCGTGATCCGACCAGTCCATGGCTATATCTGTGCAGAAAAAAAAAAATCGAAATCAGTTTTATTATTTTGGTCCTACAACTTGTAAGTTGGCCTACAAAATGTTGTATTCGTGTTGTGTTTTGTGTCTTTCGTGTTTATTTGTAAAGCTAAACGGTTCAATAATATGTTTATGTATGTAATCAGTTGGTCATCCGGTTCTAATATCTGGTTTCGTAATTATGTTTGATATCGTTTACTGCAATTATTCGCTAATTGAACAAATATTTATATATATATATACATTTTACGTATATTATTATATATAGATGTATTTATAAACACGTATTTTGTATCTAATTCTTACTGGTTATACGACATAAATCGCATACATTTTTCGTATACACAAATATTCGATTTTGATGCTGTAAAAGCACATACGTGGTAATTTACGTACGAAATTTATATTATTATACCTTTTCCTTTTATGGATTGTGTATGAGTTTAGTTATATATCACATGACGTGTACATAATACACGGTTTAAGAGTCAAAACAAACGAATTCGATATTAATATCTTAAAAACAATAGGGCCATAAAATAGATTCGCAGCTGTACAACTCAATGCGTGATCAATTGTATAAACGTTTGAATTCTACACGGCGATATTCTAATAGGAATTAATTTGTTTACGTGCAAATCAATAAAACTATTCAAAAACAAATTGATCGACGATTAATCGCACGGCGTGTTCAAAACAATATTGCATTTATAGGTAATAAGACGTAACAACAATATAATGTTCCTTCCTATCGTCTGCACCGAGGTCATCGTTTTTACGATAGGTGAGAATTAAAGATTTTTTATTTTTGTACTTAATGGCCCATCACGTTAAACATTTATGAGTAATACGCTCCATATTATGCTTTGTGAGTCTTCTCCATACTAAATTTATCATACGTCGATTGTGCGACTGTCATAAACAGTCCGACATTCCGAACAATACTCATTAAAACGTATTTCAACTCCGTGGAATGTACGCGTTAAGTATTCTTCTTAAATCCAAGGAACATACCGTTTTGAATAAAAAAAAAAAAAAACAAAACGAAAATTGAATATTCTTTTTAGTTTTACTCGGAACATCGCATAGCCGTTCGACCGAACCGGAAAGACACTTAATTATAGTTATTTTTTTTTTCACTTTTATTTGGAACTCGATCGAAACAATTCTTTTTTTTTTTTTGCAAATATTCGAGACTCCGCGACGTGCGCGTACCTATATAATAATATACGTTTTTTTTTTTTTAATCTTTACATGCGTAGTATTATTATATAAATAAACAACCGATAATCTAAGTAAACGCCGCACATCGCGCGCGCAGAACGGTCGGGTCGACTTTCAAAACCGATAGACGGAATAATAATAAATAGGGCAGGTCATGCGGTTTTTTTTTTTGTTTTTTTTTTTTAGTAGGTACAATATATACGACCGACGACGGTTTTGTAAGACGAAACAATATCGTTTTCTCGAGTTCGGTCGGGCGGGCTACGCATCGTTTGCGCGGAGGGTGCGTCGGAAGATCAAAATCGGCGATCTACACCCGCACATTCGAGACGACGGACGTCGAGGATAACCGTAGAGTTTTCGAACACCGGACCGGCGGCGCGGTAACCCGAGGAAGAGGAGCGGGGGGATCGCGGTATAGAACATAATATATTATTACAACGTGGCGGATTCGTGCACTGCAACGAGGGACTGCGGTTCGACACGTCGAGACGGCCGTCGGTGGCGTCGCGACAACAATAATATCTTCAGTAATAATATTATCAGGTCTTGCGGTCTAGATCCGTCGCGACTTACGACATTGGCAAACGAGAAAACGGCATCGTACACGGCGGGCCTGACACTGCAGCGTCAGCGAACGATATATTTTACGAGTACACCTCCGCGGTCTGTGCGTACCCCGAAGATTGTTTTGCGCACGCAAAAAACCGCGAATCGTCGGAGAAATGCTACGGAGCGCCGCGCCGCGACGGGGATGCTTGCGGTCGCCCGCGGTCGCCCGCGGTCTAGCTGCGCGTAGAATATTGTGTAATATAATAATTTTATCGTACGACACGTCGACAACGCTAATAATAATAATAATAATAATAACGACAACATGGACGTTGTATCCAGACATTTTTTTAATGGGGGGGGGGGATTGATTTTGAAAATAAATGAAGGTTTTTTAAACATTTTATTTATAGTACATTATTATTTTTCGTCATTATTACATTAAATTATTACAATTAAGTATATGACAAATTCAAAATTCTAGTGGGGCAAGTGCCCCGTCTTGTCCTCCCCCCCCCCGGGGGACAACCACGAACGACAACGCGATATCATACGATATTAATACGTTATCCTCATTAGGTCGCGTCTCGCGGTGTCGTCGCCGTCAGCTCGCGTAGACAAAAATAATAATAATACCTATACGAATGGCTGCGACGTAGGTATACATATTTTCTTCTCTTTCGAGTATCTACGTATACGTACGTGCGATGTGCAGTGTATACGTACTGTACATTATATATTATTATTATTATTATTATTATTTTGAAGGGGAAAAAAACCTGCCGCGTGACACGGAATAAAATACGTCTTTGGTCCGGCAAGGTTATAATAATAATATCGTATACGCCTTATAACAATTTACACACACATGGTCGCGCGCGCGCGAGGCTGCCGTTGCCGCCGATTTTACCGTAAGCAAACGCCATGTATGGAAACTGAATTCTTCGTGCGGACGACCGACCGACCGACCGAGCGACAGCAACAACAGCAGCAGCAGCAGCAGCAGCCGCGCGACTGTTCGCCGCGGACTTTCTCCGAGCGTTTAGCGCGTCTCCTCCGCCTGTCATACCACCGCAATAGCACATTATCATTGTTATTAAAACGTCTGTGAATATTCGCCGAATGGTCAAATCGTACGCGTAGGGTGAATATCACACCGCAGCGGGTCATAGCTCCCATTTTTGTATTCAACGGGATAACGCGACGGATTCGTTCGAGTTTATTCGATTGTCGAAATGTTTTAACGAGTTTACCCCGAGAACGCGGCCCCAAACCCAAACGAAAAACGCTCTGCGAAGTGTCCGCGGGGGTGTATTGGTATCCGGTCGGACCCAATATCATAAACTATAAACATTCATATTTATACATTTGATTTTTTCTCTCTTAAATGTAGGTGTGATGTCGATTTTTTCGATATTTAATTTGACTATTACGATGTGCGAAAAAAGATTTAACATGCGCGCACGACTGATACAGAAACCTATAACCAATATAAACCGTCTATCATATGTATACCCACATGAATGCCATAATATATAACATGTCGGAATGGACAACGTCAAAAGTTATTAGGCGATATGACAAAATCAATCCTGAACGATGAATGGCCTATATCGACGGCAACGGCGGCAATTGAACGGACAACAAATCTGGCGCAATACACTGGGGCAGGCATCTGTTTAATCCCAATAACAATTATATGAGATTCTAAATAGGACCTCGGATCGAGAAAAGACTAACAAAGAATCATATACGTACATTAATTTCTATACGATAAACAACAGAACTAGAATAATATATACTATACAAATGAATTTGGACGAAATGCAAAACAAGCGTTAGTGGTGTATACAAACGATCGTTGTATATAGGTATAGAATAAAGGTTAAATTTACAGACGTATTATACTCGTATGTATATATATATATGTCAGCAGCAGAATCGCGTGACATTATTATGGTTTTACTTATGCGAATTTATTCGTGAACGATGCGCCACAGATGTGCTCGTTTTGCGTTGGCGGTCGACTCGAAGGCGAAACCTGACGTTTTTGCCCGCACATAACCATAAAAGCGAACTTGCCGCCTTCGACCCGCACTTCGGCTTTTGCTCGTCACCAAATCTGTGGGATATTCGGGTACGCCGCGGTATCGGGGCCGCGTGAATAAAAAAGTTTCCCGCGAGACGTTATTTATTCGCGAAATATTATAAAGTTATAATAATATCGTTATAGTTTTTTTTTTTTTTTTTTTTGTTTTGTTTTGTTTTGTATCCTGCGTTCCGAGGACTTGAACGTGTTACAATAATCGTCATCGACGTGAGAGAGCGCGATCCGGCCAATGGGAAAGCTGCCCGGAGACCGGCCTTATATGGGAGCCATTCCGGCGGTTTCGCCGCCGCGTTGTCCTTGCCAGCGTACTATTATTTAATATTATACGATATTATATATTATAAATTGTGATTTTTTTTTTCTTCTTCTATTAAATTATAAAGGGAAAAAAACCCAACGAACATCACCGTCCTCTCGCGCGCGGCCACAGCCTTGGTAGCTACTGTATGTATAGCTATATAGCTACTATACTTTATAATATTATATAATTTACAAATGTACGCGATAATAATACATACACATTACCTATGTATAGAAGGTATATAGCTGGTATATCGCATACTGTCACACCATTGCGAAACGCGTTTTATACACAGCTACTGAGGTTAGGAGGAGTTTTTAAGACGAGTTCGCGGACCTATATACCATACGTAACACTACACACACACACACATATATATATACATACAAACGTGTATGACGTGCATTATTATATAGATCGGACGACGACGGTGTGTCACGCTGCTTCGGTGAAAAAATGAGTACACAACAATAACTCGAACAATAATAACAAAACATCGCATATTGTAGGTATATACCTATATGTATAGGAAATGTAATAATGACGACAGAATATATGATTTGCCGCCGGCCCGCGGCCTTGAACGAATCATAATACTCAATCGGCTAGATTTACGACCGGAACCGAATTCGTTATTTCGCCGATTGGCTTACAAGACGTGTAAATGGTATACGACGATGTGGACCGACTAACGCGCTCCATCGCGGGCTGTGTACGATTGATTCGGCGGTCAAGACGTCTACGAACCACAGCGGTGTATTTTTCATTATATACGGAGCGTGTTCAAGACGGTATATT